TCCAGAGGCTGGTAATGAACTCATCATTTGATTCAGGTGTGTTCACCCAGGGTTATATCTAAAACCTGCAGGACCCCGACCTCGAGGCCCGGAGTTGGAGACCCCTGTTGTAGGGTCTGCCTTACAATATAAAGTGCCTTGAGGCGACTGTTGTTGTGATTTGGCCCTGTATAAATAAAATTGAATTGAACTGAATTGAATCATGATCTGGATGACTGAGAACTTCAACAGAAATATGTGAATTCATAAACTGTTTTGGAAAAAAGATTGGAAGTACAGCAGGTGAAAATTTCACGTATTCATTTACTCCTAGCAAATTTTAGTCCTAGAAACACCAAACAGGACTTTTGTTATCAGAAGTTTTGAGGGTTCTGCTCAGTGTGTTAGCTGTTCCTAGACAGAGACCATGGATGTTGAGCCACTCTCCTAGTTTTGTATCAGCGAGGAGATTTCCATGGAGTTACTAACCCAAAACCTGGCATATCTCTGCATGGTGTGTCCTTAAAGCTTTGAGGAAACTAAAAACTGAAAATGATTCCCTTGGGAAAAAGCTGAAGTTTGCCAAATTTCACTAGAACTGGATTGAAAATCATAAATGTGCTCATTGCTGTTGTAAGAGTATGTGACCTGTTGAAATTGTGTCTACTGTAACCCAAAGTTGAGGCTCTGTCATGGTTTGAAGATGCACTTAACTCTCTGAGGTCTAAGCCATCGTTGGTAGTAACCGTTACGCTACACTAACCCTGTATCTTTGAGGAAAGCACCTGCTCACCTGACTACCACAGGACTCAGAGCCTCTAGTTGTTCTGCCCTGCACTTCCACCACATCTCCGAACTACAAACTCTCTCTACTTTTAAATCAGGTCTATTCAGAATTGCATTCCCTTCATCATGACTTGGGTTTGGTCTATTTTTTTTTTACCATGATTAGCTTTTGTAGTTGGTTTTTATTTTGTTGTACTAATGTAAGGTGACCTTGAGCCTCTTTAAAAGTGCCTATAAATAAAGTGTATTATTATTATTATTATTATTATTATTATTATTATCCATC